ATTCTCAAACTGTCTCAGTCCAAAGACAAAGACATGTGCCAAAATTACCCAGCACATACTGAGGAACCGGATGCCATGTATGGCACTGACGGATCCTGTAGATTGTCTGGTTTCCATGACCCCAGCTCCATTGTTCTACGCAGAAAAGGTCAGAATCAGCTGGGTATAGATGCATATAGGCTTATCCCAGCCCTTTGTCAATGTATCGGCACTTAGAAGGGGCTCAGTCTCCATATCCTCCTCTCCAATATCAGGGTATCCTTTAGCTTTGGCATTCTCTTTCTCGTGGATAGCTCTCCATTTTGGCCACCTGATAAAAACGTTGTCACAGGCGGTGCCGATAATCATCAACAAACCAGTAATGGCCAGAAAAACTATGGCATTGAGTAGCTGTGCTCGTGTCTCGGTTCTCCGTGTGGTATCCAGCAGGGGCAGCTTGTCTCGTACCAGACCTCTTACTCTCTAGTGTGTCGTAGTCGTAGCCGTAGCCAACAAATGTCGTGCTAAAACTGCAGCTCTCAATCTGTTTTTGTATTGGTCAACCTTTTTTTTTTTTTTTGAAAAGTCCCAGTGAGAAAACATGCGGTTACTTCAGTAACAGTGACCTCCCGAAAAAAAAAAAAAAAGCTGGCGAAGAGTCCAAAAATGACCATGAAAGCAACCAATCCCACCACTTGCATTAGGCTGACAACACAGAAGTATGGATTAAACTCAATAGGTTTTTTAATCCTGCCGCTGGCCAGCAGCTCTTTGACTGTCCTGTAGACAACAGGCTTGTCACTGCCTTGGATCGGCACACACCACTTGTTTACTTCCTTGCTGTAGAAAATCGTCTTCCATTGATGAAGCCGGTACTCATATCTGGGTGGGGGGTCGGGGGGGGGGGGTGTCAGGAAACAAGGCGTGTCTTAGCGGGCTTAGCTATCTCATGCACTGCAGACTAAAAAATGTCAATGTTGATTGTGACACCCTCAAGTTCGCTGTTTCTTGCCATAAAGCTCTCAGAGTTGGTCATCTCTCCATCTCTAAATTGTTTCTGTGTGTAGTATAATACGACAGCTGCATCTTCTCCAAGTACCGTGGTTCTCTGCGATATCCAGGTGATGAGTTCCTGCCTCGATGTACAGGTTCCCCATTAACAATCGATTTAGGCTGACATAGTTTAGCACAACTCTGCCTTGTTTACCCATCTCCTCGAGAGAAGATGGGTTGCTGCTGTCAGCGATGATGATTGGAATGTTCGCAATGGTCTTGCCTGTGCATAAAAAAGCCTCGTTTCAAACGACATGCTCAACGCCAATGTCACTTCGTCCGCCGTGTACTGGCCGGTAAATCAACTTGCTCTGAACACGATAGTCCAACCTCTCCTTTTATCTTTCTAGGACTTCTTCAAAGCAGAAAAGTACTAGATTATCAATCAAGTAACCGTAGTCAGTGAGCAATAAAACAACGAAATATGTCGATGTACGAAAAGCAGGACCAAGAGTGAACTAACGTCTATTGCTGCCGGTCCGACCATAACAACGTTCAAACAAAGGTCAAAGAAATTCTCCCCCTTAAGAAAACGACGACAAAAACGGCAACAACCGTTGTAGATGATAAAATCAAGGAAAATCTGAAGCCACACGTACAATTTCGTGTTTTTCCACAAATTTATGCAAATTCAAGCAAGAGGGAACGAGTTTTGAAACGTACTGTAAGTATATTCGCAGACTGCATCTCCCAGGGATGTGACTGCAGATGGTCTTTCACTACAGTGGCTGGACTGCTCATATACAAAGGATGGGCGGGTTTAATCGATGACAGGCTATCTATGCAGACTGCAACACAGGTCCTTGCAGCACGTATTAGCCATGAGGTAAGGGACCGAACTATCCACCCTGACATTTGTGGGTGCCTGTAAACAGGACTTGGGCATCAAAGGCGTCATTGACACATGGACATTTGTACTTAACACCAACCTCAGTCGAAAAAGCACTCTGAGGAAGTTATTAAAAATTTTTTACTCCACCAGGACATCACATAGAGCGATAAACACCCGGTGACACAAAGTGGCACCATACAGATGAGGATCACCTGTGGAGAGGTCCCAGAAATCCCTTTCAGCCGTTAGGCCATTTTTATATCTCGGCTATATTAATAATCCCGGGTAAAGCGAGGGTAGATCATCAAAAAACGAAAAATTGCATCCCAGATGGGGACGACTGTACTGACATAGTAGCACTGTTGTTTCATTGACCATTATTATGCGTCCGGTGCGGTCCGGCGGCCTTGACCACAATATTACACCAACACGAAGGCAAACAGAGTCCTGATGCAGTCTAATAACAGTTTTACAATCTTCCTGTAGTCATAATCTCACTAAAATTACACTGCAGTAATGAACCTCAAGGGCTTGTAATGCTAAAAATGAGCCCAAACAGAGAGATGAATAGAAGTGGGTGATATCTGCAGCAATGAACCTAAAGGGCTCGTAGTGCTTAAAAAAAAGAAGACATGTGTTCTCATTATGTGTTTATAAATGACATTGCTGCCGATTCTACGTAGTTTTTGTTTTTTTGTTTTTCTACCAGTCAACCAACTGTCCTTTTTTCATTTCCGTATATCTGGAAATGTTTTGTACAGCTCTTGAGAATTCTCTTTCTCACCTCAATTGACAGAGAAAGATTGCACAGAATATCCGTCTCCTATTTCACATTTCATTATCTTATTTTTATCAATCCCAATTTTCTATTTCAAATGTAATTTTCCCTTCAGGCTGTTATTATTAAAAGTGAACTGGGCTCTGCAGTTCTTCTCCTTTATTCTGGAAAAGAAATCCATATTTCCGTTTGGGTGACTGCACAGTTTCATCTTTCGTCATTTTTTTAAACGTACTTGAAAAAAAAAAACAACTGAATTTCATTCTTCATCTTTTATGAACTGTTTTTAGAAAATGAATCTTTGTGCGATTACTAACAGGGATAGAGTGAATATTATACGCTTTTTTTTTTTTAATTCTCCTGCTTTTTATCACCAAATGCGTCGTTTTTGATTAACCCGTCCATTACAGCATGTCCCTCTCTTCACGGCGTCTGAAAGTCTTTCTATAGAGTATACTCCAGCTTTGCATGCTTTCAAGGCAAATGCAAGCATCGGTGTAGTCTATCTAACTTCGCTTAACATGGCCAGAATACCTCAGTTTTCGGGACAGGATGCTGTAAACGAGCCAGTTTGCCTCGATGTTTATATCATGCAGGATGTTAGTGTTTTTCTTCTTCTTTGTCCACAGTTTTCTAGGAATTTACCTATAATAACATTTCAGTTTACATGCCCCTCCCTCCCCCCAACAATATTGGGTAAGATAGGATAAAATGCCATTAAAAAAAAAAAAAAACCTCACGCGAAAACGTTATATCCTTTGTTTTTGATTGCAGCTTTCACTTATCTCCATCTTTGTAATTTCATTCTACCAGTTTCCTTCTCAGTATATTTTATTGCTGTTTTTGCTTTTATTTTTGTCTGTTCTTATTTCTTCGAATCTGCGGGGTCTCAGCGCAAAAGACACGTTTTCTCAAAGTGTGTCCTATCCAAGGACAGTTTTTTTAAACTCACCCGTTGTTTTTCTGGAGTTTATTTAGTTTCCGCACAAAAATCTACATTTATCCTCATCATTCTTTATATTCCATTAGACGTCACATAAAGTTCGAACTCGATTCCTCCACTCCAGGTTACTATACATCCAACGTTCGAGTTCTGAAATGTTCAGTCCAGGGTTGTTAGCTTTAAATTAAAATAATGTTTTACCTCAGTGTTTCTCCTGGACGTCTTCTTTGCCTCAGACCGTCTACTTCCTACTTTACTGCTTGTTTTGTCATTCTTTGCTGATTTCGTTTGGTGATAAAGGCTAGTGTAGTTGGCCTCATGGCAGCCGCATCAAGTGAATGTTTATCATATTTTTTTTTAAAAGCTAGTCAGAATTCTCACAACTTTTAATGTTCGATACTTATGTAATATGACTGAAATACAACATATGCTGAAACTGTCCCTGGAAATCTTTTGTTAAATTAATCTCTTTTAATTTCAGAAAGTTAAGTACTTTTCCACTGACGTTAGAGATGATATTCTTCGCCCAACAGACCCAGATGGAACTGCAGGTATATATATACATACACACACACACACACGCACACACATACGCACGCACGCACGCACGCACACGCACACACACATACATACATACACACATACATTTATACATACATACATACAAACATACATACATACATACATACACGCTTGCATAGACACATACAAATAAATACCATCACGTACACACATAATAGGTATATATATATATTTATTTATATGTGTCTGTACATGTGTTCGCGTGTGTGTTTATTCGGGTTGCTTTTGTTTATTTCCTGTTTAAACTTGTTTTGCACAAAGATCGCAATAAGATCTGTCCTTATCTTCAGCAGAAACTCTGCGCTGGCTGCTAAACATGAGAACGGAGCACTCATGGAAATGCTCCGCGTGCTGTGATGTCAATTCTTGATTCAACTCAACTCGCAATAAGAGATGCTCGTTAGAAATATCAAGCGTGGCACATACTTCTTTTACAATTCGAGCTGGATGTTTGAAGTCGAAACGTGTTTTCTGTATCAAGTTGTGTCGTAACACTGTTAAACATGCCCTATGAACTCAGTTTACAGCTCCAGCTATGTATCAGAACAATGAACAAACTAAAAGCCAAGTTTGTGTCACATGTCAAAATGTTTCAGTGGAAATATTAAATTAAACCCTTTCGCTGCTATGCACTCCGCCAGCCAACGTTACCATTGAGATAATCTAGTTTCCCGCTGATCATTCCCCCGTGTGCTGAATATTTCTCTATATCCCCCAAAAGCAAACGATGCGTCGGCGGTGAGGGTTATATTATGTACACCCGAACATATTCACCCAAGTGAAGTGGGTGGTTGGCCCGAGTGTTAACAGGTCAGATGCACTTTGGCGATGCTAAGAAACCTCGTCTTTACAGAAAGGAAACAGTAGAAACTATAAGATAAGAAAAAAACTCCACAGGGAAGCATGTACAGCAGGAGTCCACCAATCCTCAGTAGAAGTGATCCTTCGTCCACAATTGTTTCAGCCTACTAGCTCCTTGACAATTTCAGAGGGTTGGCCCACCTGAGTTTATGAAGCTCAGGCTTGATCTGCTCCTGTTGCACGTATTACCGGACGATTTCGGACATGGACAAGACGAAATTGGTGACTATGCAACAGGCACTGTGAGATTCGAAGTTTATTTATAGTCGCTGTGGCAGCATATTAGAGCAGTTAGCATACCTTGACGACCAAGTGGAAAGCTTACGGTTGGTTTTTCGGACACATGTTAGATTTTTTGGCAAATGGCAGAGGCAAAGTTGCAAACTATTCGGACACGATGGACTTTAAGGAGTAAGACTAGATACCTGGACCAGCCTACCGCTCTCTCAGCAGCCTTGCCCAGTTGTTTCAGTGCTCGTCTGCCCTCGTTTCCTCTCAAGCCCAATTGCTTTATCACATTGTTGATTTTACCTTTATAAATCTGCCCTGCCTTGCATTAACACTTGTCCTAGCTTGGTCCACAACGGCTGCAAACTCTTTCAATACCTTGTTGTGGCGCCAAGTATACCTTCCCTGACCTAGGGCTTTTCTGCACGCGGACAAAACGTGCTCGAGCGTCTGCTGAGCTCTAGACAACGGGCATGTCGGATCGGTAGCTGGATGCCACTTGACCATGTTGACACCAGACAGTAATACATGGTAAGCAGATCTAATGATAAAGCTTAGTTGCAGCGGGGCCATTCGCCAGATCTCAGCCCATGTGAGTACTCGTGGCAAGGCATTCTCGAGGCCGTTCAACTGGCCTAGCTGCGACTGTTGAGCGGTTTTTTTTTTGGACCTGTACCTCGTTTTCAGTGTCCCTTATCTGCTGTATAACCATGTCTCGGTGCTCTTTGGCTGTGGCTTTGGACCACTAACTGAGTTTACCGTGCCCTAGGCCTCGACGGTCGGCCTGAGTGTAACCCATCACTTCTCTCAATTTCAGTGCCTCCTGGGCAGATTCACTCGCATCTAAGACTTTTCATTTTCCACCTGTCAGATACTGTGTGAGCCATAACCGTGAAGAATATTTTGCTCTCAACATTCAACAGCGAAATTGGTCTGAATCGGGATAGACTCGTGAATTCTCGCTCCTAGGGAATGTAGACCTCGTTGGCCCGCTGCCACTCGGAACATATGTGATTTCGGCTCCACGCTAATCTGAGCAAGCGGTGAAGCATTCAGAGGACTTTCGGACAACGCTTGTACAGGACGTACGGAACACCATTCGGCCCTGGGGTGGACTTTCCGCTACCTCATTTCACAACTTCTTCCACCTCAGACCAAGAGGGAGGCATCATTCTAAATGGTACCTTCGGCTACTCTAGGCCACTTTAGGCTGCTGGTGATCTCTGGGTTTTCATCGACAGGTTAATTCCTTTTCCCATCTGAGTACATCTTGCTAAGATGTGACTCAAGCTCCTTTTTTACCGACCACCAGAGTCCCAGACTTCGGTTGCTCGAACAGATCTCGGGGAAACTGGAACGGGTCTCTAAAGAATTTCTTTTGCTCCGTTTTTGGTTCTTCTTCTGTTGTTACAGAAACGCTCAGCGCGACAGAGGGCACTGTGTCTGACTCTCAGGTGCAACCAGACCTCGTACAGCCTCTCTCGTTTGCTGCCTGTAACGGCTTTGAACCGTTTTCTGAGTGCATTCTTGTCTGCTCTGCACTTCAGAATGTCCCTTTGTCTTCTGCTTTTCACACTTACTGTTTGCCAGGTTTTAGCATAAGGTGTAGAGGGGACAGGCCTTAGTACGTTGTGTTTTATTCCATATCGCTAGTTCCTGCTGATCTCACAAAATCCACAGTCATTGTAGTGAAGAAAAATAATACCACTAATGGTTTTCAAAAAAAAAAAAAAAAAAAAACCGATTGTATTGTCATTCATTGTAATAATTTATAAATCTTGCTTTCTGCATTATCAAATATAACACACAATAGAAATTACTAGCTCCTCGCGATCTGGCAATACGAGAGCACATCTGCAGAAGCAATTATGCTGATTGGTTATATGACGCCACATATGGTCTGTTGAAATGTTACCTGCCTCGTGACAAGTTAGATAACTTTCTATAAAAGAAAAACACTGTTTAATTGTGTACATTGTTTTTGGTGTGTATGTGTGTGTCATTTTTAAATAGTGTCTCTTTGTAACATCGCATATAGCTAATTATCTGAAAAAAATAAATCATATAGACAACAACAACAACAACAAACAGTAAATCAACTTTGACGTATGGTAAACAGATAGGTCAGATAGTACCGCTGAATTTGAAAACAACAAATCTGAGAATAAAAATTTTTAAAAAGGGAAGAGAGGGGGCATTAAAAAGGGGGAGGGTGTGGAGGTAGGAGCGGCAGTACACAATTTAAAGACGAAGAAGAAGAACAACAACAACAACAAAAGGAAAATCTCCAGGATGTGACGAAATACCAGAAAAGTTAACTCAGGCGGGAAAGAAACCAATGTCGATATATATAACATTGTAATATGTGTACAAATCTGGAACGGTGCTGACTGGCCCAAAGTAAGGAAATGCACAGTTTTCATTATTCTCCCGAAAAAAGAAAGTATGTACCTACTGTCGTACTATATCTGTGATCTGCCATGCCAGCAAAGTTCTTCTGCAAATCATTTTGAAGAGGATTGAAGGGAAAATATAATTTGAGTTAAACGGAGCACAAGCATATTTTAGATGCGATAGAGGAACAAGGGATCATATTTTCATCACGAGAATCATCCCTGAGATATGTAGTTAGTATAACATAGATCTCTATGCATTCTTCGTACATTACAACAATTCTGTGTTCAACATTCACAAATGTGGAATATGCTGAGACATATGGGATGTCTAACACATTTGGTACATCTTGACTATGAACAACAATTAGTAGTTAGAGTGGTTGGTGAAACATCGCATTGTTTAAAGGTACAGATAGCAGCAAGAAAGGACTGCATTCTTTCTCTATCTCTTTTTAATATTTGCGCTGAAAATATAATTAGTGAAAAGGCCTGTGACAGGTTTGATCTACACAAAACTGGAGGTAGACCTATCCCAAAACTCAGATATGCAGACGACACAGTTCTCATTTCCAGCAGTGTACAAGACTTAGAATAACTGAATCAAAAAGCACAATGAAGAAGACAATCTAGTTTAAAATCTGAAGAAAAAAAAAGATTTTTTCCACAGTGAAAGCAGCACGCTATCGACGTATAAATATTGACACAGAAGATAACGACACGATTTTGAATATTTAAGCTCAGTAATGAACAACAATGGAGACTGCACTAAAGAATTTAGAAAAAGGCTTGCTTTAGCAAAGCAGGGGCTAAACAAAATGAAGGACCTATGGCATGGCACCTGCAAACATATTAAATAAAAATTTTAGGATCATGCATCTTTCCCCCTAGCAGCTTATGAATGTGAGTCATGGACTCTCACTCTGTCTTTGAAGAACAAAATCAGAACTTTTTAACTTAAACTCTACAAAAAGATTCCTACAATACCGTGGACCAAGAATAAGAAAATGTCGACATCATGCATGACCTTAACATCAGTTAGAAGCAGATGGTAAACGGTATCCTCTCTCAAAAGCTTCAGAATATTTAGCCGTATCAAGCGCCCTCGTGTTCTGGAGAGAACGGTGACCGAGAGTGCAGCTTCCTGAAAACCAGGCAAAGACCGACCACGGGGAATGTGGATGCAGGTCATTGAAGATGCATTGACAATGAAAACAAACATGGCTGGAGAATTGACTAGAGAAAGAGAGACCCTAAGGCATGCTTTGAAGAGAGCGATGTTCTGTAAAGGACAGGCTGATTGATTGATCTATTAAAATTAAGAAACTCATTTAACATCTTTGGATCTGAGATGATGCACCTTTTCCTTGGTAACTTACGGGTGTGAGTCATTGTCTCTCACTCAGACTTTGAAAAACAACATCATAGCTTTTGAACTCAAATTCTAAAAAAAACATACTTAGAATACCATGAATCAAAAAGAAAAAAGTGTCGATATCCTGCATGACCTTAAGATCGTAATTAGCATCTTCTCTCGGCATTTTTTACCTATCAAGCACCCTGGTGGTCTTGAGTGAACGGCTATGGTGGATAGCGTTTCTGGAAAACGAGGCAGAGGCAAACCACTGATAAGGACACGGCCGGCCGCCGCGAAGGACATTGAAGATTAAATGTTGAAGAAAGCATTTTGGGCTGGAGAACTGGCTGGAAAGAGACTTTTAGGCATGCCGTAAAGGGAGAGAAGTTCTGTAAAGAATATGCTGATTGATTGATTGACGGGGGAAAAAAATCTAAATTCTTGGACTGTTTTAGATCTATATGCACAGACCTACTGACAAAAGAGTTGTAGCTATAATACCAGTTTAAAAAATCGTAACGTACATCAGAATATGTTAAAGGGATTCCCTTGTAACGACATGTTAATTACGAGTACAACCCTAAAGTGCATTAGGGGTACATAATCAAGGGTTCAATAATAAGGCAAACGAAGACTGATTTTCCGAAGTCTTATGTTGTTTTACGAAAAATCAACTCATTGTCGATACCGTTATTTTTCCTTTGCATTACAGGTGGTTACATGCAAAAGTTTGTCATCACACCTGGATATCAAATGGATCAAAGTTTGATTGCAGAAACTCATTCGTCTGTCAGCGTAACTGACTGTGCAATGTACTGTATTCAGGTTAGATATGTGTTTGTCTTTATTTACCAGTTAACTTAAATTGTTTCTATAATGTTTATATGTGTAATATTTATAGTTACAGCCTTACTGTGCCGATTCTAATTTCATAATGTAATTTAAGTATTAGCAAATAACAGCTCCAATCAATTTTAACTTTTTTCACTAGCAAAGAAGAAATGTAATGAATGCTGAAGGTATAATAATATAGAAACCTACTTTCTAGAGTGTAAAGCATAGTATAATTACAAAAATGCCTAACAAATTCTACTTGTATGATCCCATACAATACGCATAAGATAACGCTGTCTGTCATAGTTCTCAAATTCACAGAAAACGAGTCCCACCCCGCCCCCCCCCCCCCACACACAACCCTCTCCCTTTCCTTAAGCGCTTCGTTTCTGTGCTTATAAAAACACACAAAATGCATATCATTGTTGACATTTCAAGCAGACATCAGCCATGACGAAACCTAACATTTCACACACGCGTTAAATATATAATGCTGACGCCAGAGGTGCCAAAACTAACATTATATTACTAGAATTGCAGTTCATAGTTGACGAAAGCAGCAGTGAATTCACGCCAGCAGGTGCTCGTGCATTACTGCATAAAACATTCCAGCAGTTCTGTGGTAACGGCACACAAGCCATTTTCCAAATGCACAGTTCATAGAAAAGATATCAGTCAGTACACACAGTAAGCAGGCCACGTTAATCAAAGGTCATGCACTTAACACTGGCATACATAATATGATCATCAGTTCTCTTTATGCCGACTGGCACATGAGGTTTCCTATGCTTTCCTGTCCTGTGCAATCCTCAGTGCAGTTTTCCATGGCAGAGATGCCGCACTCAGTTCTCTTTCCATCGTTCGTCTTCATGTTGACTTTTTGGGAGCCCCTTTTTTCTCTTTTCCCTCTGGTGTCCATGTGAGAGCTGTTTTTACAGGTATATCAGGATTCAGTCTTATAGCGTGGCCAAGCCATTTCCATCTTCTCCTGGTTATCATACTGTCTAGAGATTCTTGGTTTGTGACTTGAAGTAGTTTAGTGTTGATGGGCATGCTGTAGTATATGTTTTGTAGATCATGTGCTTTTACAGCATTGCTGCTGTTTCTGCAAGATTTTGCATAAATCTTCTTTTGTCAGTTCTGACACTTTTCTTTACCATTTTATTTAGTTCGCTTTTTTCGAACAATAGTTTGTCTTTCTGACGTTCTGATTTAGTGTGATATATGAGGCTCTTTATTTGTTTTGTTTTTTCTCCTGATAATATAGTCCATGGTTTGACTGCTTATCCGTTCTTTGTGGTGTTGTTTTCTGGTTCATGAAATGTTGTTGATGGTTGTTTTTGTGTGTGTGTGAGTTTCTTTGATCTGGTTCCATTTGTTTTGAATGTTGATTTTAGTTGGAGTGTCTGGGTCTCCTGATAAAATTTGAAATTTATTATTGAGTTCTACTATAAATTTAGTGGCAGTATCTTTTTCTCCTAATAGGTTGAAATTGTAGCTTGCTGTCTGTGTATTCGCTTGTGTGTGCACTATTTTAAGTCGTAGTAGTGCAACTACAAGGTGATAATCGCTACCAACATCTGCTTCCCTAATGTCATACACATCGAGTAGGGACCCACGCCATTTAATGTTTACCATGAAATGGTCGATCTGGTTTACATTTCTTCTATTTGGGGATATCCATGTAAGCTTGTGTATATTCTGGTGAGGAAATAGTGTTTCTCTCATACATAACCTCTGATAACGTGAAAAATGCTAGTCCCTAAGAACTACTAGAAAAGATTAGGGAATATATCACAAGAACAATAAAAATTGCTTACGTTCAAAACAATTTGTTTGAAATTTACACAGTATTACCGGCCTAATCAATTCTTTTCTAAGCGAATGAAAGGAGAAAACAGCTGATAACATTACAAGTAAAATCACGTATACGCCAGTTCTTCTTCTTCTTCGCGTACACCAGCTGTACACTCTGGCGGAAAGTTCTGGTTGCTCGTCCACTACTGAACTGCAGTCCTGCTCCAGAACCTGAGTGTTGCGTGTGCATCAGTTTTACAGATCTCATTCTCTTGAATACAGACTGTTGGTTCCTTGCCTCTCCGGCAGATGCACTCCGACTTCAAAGGAAGCTCCCCAATTAGTCGACTCTTACGACATGCTTTTGGGGAGGCAGTGGGTCTATTTATCCTTGTTTTCCCCACAATGGGGCCCTGGAACCCACACGGGGGGTATACGCCAGTTAAAAGTAATTAACATTCTGAAGGGTAACACATGTTATTATTGAAATTAATTAAATAGGAATATACGAATTATCTTCAATGTGGATTTGAGGGAAAACACCATTGAAGAAAAAGTTCCTTGGGCGACTAGAGGAAGATGAGTGTGGACGTATAACAATATGTCTATTTTTTTCTCTCACAGGAAAACACCTTCGACTGCCAGGCGTTTGACTATCAGTTTTCTTTAAGAAATTGCAGACTTTCAAACATTCACCCAGATGAGCTCAACAGCACAAACCCAGGTGTCACTCAAAATCAGTTTTCGGCAGTATATGCAAGTAAGTTTGTTTCTCTCACAGGCTTCTCTCATTTCTGTCAAAACATTATACCTCCAAGTTTTCTTAACACAATAAGTGCTGTTCGATCGTATATGACATAACAATGCTAACATTGCATATTTATATTTTGTATATAGATTCATATATACCATCATCCTTGTCATCAGTGTCATGTTGTGAAATTATTTGTTACCTGGGCTCGCAGTCTGTTCCTACATTGCGTTTTATCCTGTGTAATCCATTAGATATTATTTATTTAATCTAGTCCAGCACCTTTAGCGTCACCCAGAAGTTTTTTTTTTTAGAGCTTCATTTGATCGTCCTTGTTTCTTCATTCGTTCTATTTTCCTAATTTCAGTGTCTACCTGGTGATTCTCTGCTAGTACATCCTCATGATGTGTACAGCATAGCACAATCTTCTTTGTCTTACAACTTTTATTACCGGTAGTTGCCCATACATTATCTTATTTCCTCTTATTTCTTTACTCCCTTTGGATGCGTCCAATTTTAAGTTCATCAGTTTTCCTCAGATATTTGTTTTCAAATGCAGCTAACTTTCGTTCCACGTCTGTAGTGGTTCTTCAACTTTCATTGAATATGTCAAAATAAAAAAAAAAGATTAAAAAAAACACATTTAGAATAGAAAATGTGTAGCTTTGTTCTAAAACTGAAGAAATTAGTGTTCCACATTTTGTTAAATTATCATATATGCAACCTAAATAAATTGATCTTTCTGCGTAATTGCCCGTGTCTCCAGAGTTAATCTGTTTGATCTCCTATTATTGGTGCCCTCAACATATTTAACACTTCAAAAATTATTTTTGATGGGTGTCACTGGGGTGTTGGCAGCTGGACGCCCGTCTGCGGATCAAAAGGTCGAGGGTCGCGTCCTGACAGATCCGGACTTTTTTTCATAAATGACATTGACTCCCAGGTCAACCCAGCGTTGAGTGGGTACCAGGTGCAGTCATTGAAAGTAAAGGCGGCTGGCGTAATGCGGACCACATCACCCACCAAGTGTCGAAGTCTATACAGAATATAGCTCTAGCCCTAAATTCTCAATACGCTAAAAGACGTGGAAAAGGGACCTTTACTTTTTTAAATAATATTTTAATAGCAAAACTTTTGATTTTACTGTTGATAAATTCTTTTTTTTGCACGTAATTTTTGTTTAAGCAGAACAATTTCATCAGCTAACTCGAGGTCTCCCATTCGTGTAATTGTTTATCCAGTCTTTGCTAGCATCTCCAGCAAATGTTTTTATCACGTAATCACAGGTTATGCCGAAAAACAAAGGAGGTAAAATTCGTCGGTTTCACTGCAATTGCAGCAGCAAACCAGTCATTTAAACCAGCAGTTTTCCCAACTTATGGGTCGCGACCATTTTTTGGATCGAAAGACCCTTTCACAGGGGTCTCCAGAGACCATCGCAAAACTTTTAATTATTAAAATTATACAGTAGCGACACAAATAATTGTATGACTTCGTGACATTAGGAAGGTTGAGAACCAATGATTTAGACCATCGTCTCTGTTCGCACTACACACTTTGAACTGTCATATGTAGTTTTAATAATATAAGATGTTTCTCTAATTCACTATAGCTTTCCTAAATTCTCCAAATTGATGTTGTTTGTAAGCATTCAAAAGCTTTCTTAAAGTCGTTGAAATTAAAAAAAAAAAAAAAAAAAAAAAAGGATTTTTTTAAACGAATTCCTCTGAAATAAGTATTAGGGTGAATACTTGATCTACTTAGCCCCCTCTTTCAATAAGAAAGGCAATATTTTTTTTTTAATATTTTCTTTAAAGCACCGCAAAGGTTGTCGTCGGTAGCCCTAACGGTTAAACTAGATTTCTGGGACCGCAGCTGCGGGATTCTCTTCTGCATGATGGCACTTTGTGTCAGTTTGTGTCACCTGGTGTCAGACGCTCATTTTGTGGTCTTGGTGGGGTTGAACTTCACACTTGTTTCTTCTGGGTAAAAAAAAAAAAAAAACTGCTTGTTCGTATCTTAAATTTTTTTTCCACCAACCCTTTAATGAATTGAGAATTATTTGATAAAATGTCTTACACACACACACACACACACACACACTCACACACGCACACACACAAGCACAAAGTAAACCTTTTTCAACACAAACTTACTTAAGAAGACCACTTGGTTTACACGAACAAAAGTTAGGTCCTAGCAGGGTGTATTATTTCTTTTAGAAAGTTTTATATGTTAATGTAAATTTATGTAACCAATAACTATAATTTTTTTTTTTTTTTTCAGTTGAATCACTAGATCTCATTTAGCAGAAATTTCCAAAGCGCTTCATTCGTTCTCTATTGTTTCTCTGCTAGATAAGTAAGAAATGCAGTTAAAATGTGATCATTTTCGAATTCCCGTTATTTGGGTACTTGAACAAGAACTATTGCTTTTAACATTAACGTTACTTGCTGCAATCGCGATCACCCTGTCAACAGTCAGCTCCTGCTATAACCAATAGAATTAGGTTTAGTTCAGTAATCTTTTTAAATTAAAGTACAATACAAAATAGACAAATGGGGCACGAGTTGATACCAAGCATCAGTGCGCCAACTTAGTAGGCAATCTTCAATTTTTTTTTTAAGTATCCAGAAACCATGAGTTGTTAACCCTTTGGCTCGCTACTATGGATATCGCAACCCTTGGGCCTTGATTCCATGATAAATACCATGAATCTGGGTGCCTATCTCCGGCTGTGAACCCGGGCCGCAAGGAGTCAGGTTTAGCCAACTGTGCTAAAGAGCCCGTCTTGCAGGCAATAATTTGGATATACTGTCCAGGATATGCAGGAGTGCGAAGGAGTAAAAGAGCGGATAAAAGCGATACTACGGGAACAGTCACAATAGACAATATAAACATTCAGAAGACCATTTATGAATGAATGTTAATAGAACTAAAATGACATACCATGATTAAGAATGTGTGAACGAGGAATCAGAAGTGGATCTGGCAGGGACGGGCGAATGAAAGGAAGAGAGCGACGTGTGTATAATCAGTGTCCTACGGGAACAGTTAGCATCTACATCTTAAGATATTTGCTGCGTGATCTATGGGTATTCCCGGTGTGCTATGATGTCGATTCTTAAATCAATAATCAGTAGTGGCGATTATTTGTTTTTTTTTTAATGCTTGAAAATGTAGCAGCAGGAGTAACATCAATATTAAAACTTGAAAGCAGTAAGACGTCAGTTATAGAGGAAGCAGACAGGCATAGATCTGCAAAAGAAACTAGTACTCCTGAAGGTAGTGCATTAAAAAAAACCGACAGTCGATAAATTTTTTTTTGAATTTCCAAGTGTGCTTATCTACAATGCCTAAAAAACTGGAATCAGTCATTAATGATGATGCATAATGTTTAGGGAACAGCTCTAAGCGACTTTGTACAATGATAATGAAATGTTATTCTAGAATTGTATAACTATTTGCACGCTTCCATTCTTCCCTGACCCCAATGAAAGAAAATTATCTGTGGATTTTGTACCTAATAATAAAACAGAATTATCGCCAGAGCTACGGAGTGCGTGCTCTGCGCTTGATACCTTCTTCGGGTGATAACGGATAGGGTTGGAAAAGGAAAATGACGAGTAAATAGATAAAAAATAAGGCATAGAAATATGAGAGCGGGAGCCCGGATAGTCAGTTGCTTGGGATTCAAGAATATTATAATGGGTTACAGGAATTGTTGTAGTACCAAGCAGGAAGGACCTGCTGGAAGGAGAGGCTGATTTATAACTTTGATATCATCATGCTTCATGAATTAAAAATATATAAATATGAGTGTCCTGGATACATTAGTTAAATCAATCATAGCGGACAGGGAAGACATGGGTATACTACAAGGTCAGCTAGTGAAGAATGAGGTGGGGCATGTGGTTCTTCACCTGGGCCAGGGGAATCATAGTACACTGGAGGTTAATGGTATACAGATTGATAACAGGAGCACAGTTTATTAGATATTTTCGCTGCTGTTGACTCTCTTGGCATTAGTTTTTGTGGTTACGGTGTCGGCCTTGTTTGGCGTCAGGTTTTGCGGTCGGATCGGTTCTTCTAGTGAGGACCCTGTAAGTCGTCTTCTGGCAAGTCTGGGTTGAAATAGTTCAGATTCTCCAGCTCACTGATGCATTGATTCATTTCAAACGTGTTTCGTCCGTGAACTGCCATGTCAAAGGCGTCGACACTTTCTTGTCTGCAACTTAACATTCACTTTTTCTGGCGCTCGGTTCCCTGTGATTTTAGTGACTGTATTTGCTGTTTCCTTGCTGCTTTTTTCCGTGCCTTTTCTATTTCCTCCATTACTCTGCTGATTGCTTGTAGCTCCTTGCTTAGTCAGACGTTTTCTTTGTATGTTTTCCGCAACTTTTCCTCTGTTTCAGCAAGGGCTTTCTTAATCATTGTAACTTATGTCGCGAGAAGCCGCTGGGTCTCTCGCAGATCTGTGAGGCTGATCTTCTCTTTCTTTGCTTGGGTTGACTGCCCTTTCTGAGTCTGGATAACAGCGAGTACAGCCATGATGTCCTCCTTAAATCGTGCCATGTCTGTTTCCATAGGCTTCTGGGTTTCGAGAGTTAACTGCGGGATTGTTCTCAGACTTGTTACTTCATCCTTTTCTTCATCTGGCTTGGATTTGGAGGATGGCCGTCATTGTTATGTCTCGGCACTGCTGGCGGCAGGGGCAGCCCAGGTACCTGGCGCTGTGCTGGCCGTAGCAGTCTGCCCACTTTCTGCTCGGATTTGGAGATCTGAAGTCTTTGCCCAGCTTTGCCAGGTGGCAGTCATTGATAACACCGACCTGTAGATTTCTTGCTCGCTCACACAAGTGGAACGGGAGTGCCAGGTTTTGTGACAACGGGAGTACTGTAGCACCTGTGGCACCCACTATTATGATCTTTTGTTTAGGTGGACTTTATCCGGGATGTCTTCATTCTCTGATGTTATCACTGGGTATAACGGGTGTAGTTTTGAGCTTA